CGACTCACCAAGTTCGCCATGTTTTTGCCTTGTCGCTATCATGCCAAGGCACCGGAGTTGGCCGAGGTTCTTTACGCCGGTTGGATTCGCACCAAGGGTTACCCCAAGGAGATCGTCTGCCACTGCGACACTCGGTTCATGTTTGATTTTTGGTTGGCGCTCATCAAGCGATGGGGATCATCTCTCAAGCCCAGTTCAGCTCGCCACCCTCAGACCGATGGCCAGACGGAGAGGGCGCATCAGACCGCACAGGTTCTCCTTCGCACTCTCATCCGCCCCGACCAGAAAGACTGGGTTGAGCGACTGCCGGACGTCGAGTTGGCCTACAACTCTTCCATCCACCCGGCTATTGGGATATCGCCCTTCGAATTCGAGCATGGCTCGTCGGTCACATCACCGTTGGACACTATTACTCCACGCACGGCCGAGAGGGACGACCATCTTCTTTTCTTGCGTCGGATGCAAGAGCTTCTTGTCAAGGCATGCGACCAGATGGCTAAGACGCAACAGCACATGAGCCAGCAGGCCAATCGCCAGCGTCTTCCTTGTCCATTCCGCGCCGGGGACCTCGTCTGGGTTTCCGCCGCGGAATTCAGCCTTGAACAAGACGTCTCTCGCTAGCTCCTTCCGAAATGGATGGGGCCTTGGCCGATCATAGAGCCCGCTGGGGACGCACCTGAAGGACCCTCCTTCACAATTCAGGTGTCTAGCCACTTGCCTGTCTACCCAGTCTTTCATTGCTCCAAACTGGCTCTCTACACGCCATCGGATCATGACGATTTTCCCGGGAGACGTACGCAAGACCCACCTTCTATGGATGTTTTTCAGGAGGTCGGCGACATCATCTCGCAGCGACGCTTTGGCAACAAGCCAACTGAGTATTTAGTGCATTTTGCATACTGCACACACCGAGCTGACCGATGGTTAACCCGTGCAGAACTTCAAGCAACAGCTCCAGATGTTCTCGCACGCTACGAACGWAAGATGCAAGGCAAGCCGATTTCTTCGGCTCCCCGCCTCGCCCGCGTTCAGGTTCCACCTTCAGATCGACGGCTTCGCCCTCGCCCTGGCTTGACTTCATAAGAAGGGGGGGGTGTTACATGCTGCGCGTGCACACGTAGGCCATTTTGCAGGCCTGCGTCCTTCAGGCCAAAAGCCTGAACTTCAGACCGAAAGCCTGAATTTCAGGCCGAAAGCCTGAAATCCAAGGCTTACAGGCCCCTTGTCGGCTCAGCCCGAAAGCCTAAAGTTCAGGGCCTATCCCTGTGTCGTTTTAGACTAAAATGGCAATAGCCTTTTTAGCCTGAAACGAAGGGCCATTTCCGGTCGTTCATCAGAACGATCGGCCCTGAAACTCGGGCACCGAACCAGGGTTTCAGAAACAGACTATTATTAGTCTGTTTCCCACGCCAGCCTCAACAGGCTGCTGCACGCCAGCCCCTGGCACACTTCGGCATTGGCAAGAGCTGCCTCCTCAGCCTGACTCGCCCTCCAGTAGTCAGGAGGCAGGCCGAGGTAGTACATAGGACTTCCCAGGCACTTCCGAGGTAGGCAGTCGGTCAGTTGTAGTCTTCAGGATTCGGGAGCAGCACTCTGGAGGGAGCGCTGCAGTGTAGTAGTAGTAGCGTTAGCTTGTAGTCTTCAGCGCTGGGCGCAGTAGGTAGTTGTAGTCTCCAGCGCTGGGCGCCATAGCTAGGTAGTACTAGAGAGAGAGAGAGAGCTTGGGCTGAGGCCAGAGGTACCTACCTGCAGCGCCGTTGCTCCAGCTTCGTCTTCGAGGTACCTGCAGCACAGCGCCAACATCACATGTTAGTATCTGGTTCGTAACAGAGAGAGAGAGAGAGAGAGAGCTCTTCTTCTTCTTCTTCTCAGTCCACCATCTCTTCTCTCCCTCTCAACTTCTGACTTCACTGCATTTGCAGACTATGAGAGAAGAGATACGGAGCTTGGTGACATTTGATCCAGACTCGACTTTTGGGGGTTCAGACATGGCAACGAGGGNAGAGAAGAGATACGGAGCTTGGTGACATTTGATCCAGACTCGACTTTTGGGGGTTCAGACATGGCAACGAGGGACTATTTGGGATTGGTGACCAAAACTTGGTGTTAAAGACATTCCCATCCTTCTCCCTCCTTTCGTCTGATCCTTATCTCTTCGTCTGTGTATGTCTGGACCTGGCGCTTTCTTCCTGTGTACTGCGCCAGGCTCCTTCACACTTGATGATGGATACCATGCATGTTTAGTTTGAGTTCAAACATTGATTGGGCTAGTTAGTAGTACTCTAGCATTCTGCTTCGCAACTCTGAACTACGTGAATGAGGTCAGTCCTGTCAGGTCAGTCTTTGTATCAAAGTCTTCCCTGCGCTATTCATCACCTTTTGTATGTATGAGAATGCACATTGTCTGTCGAGACTTTACTCGCACTGTATTGTCCATTCAGTCCTTTTGATCACATTGCAGTTCCTCGGTTATTACGTACATGGCATATTTGTGCATGTAACACTGGGCCTCATGCTACCGGGGCCTATTGGAAGCTTGCTGGCTGCATTCTGCGCAAGCGCCGCTGTGCTATTTGCTGGCTGGCGCCTACGCGCTCACGGGCGAGCAGGGAAGGAGCAGGCAGCCATAGCCGAGATGCACTGCTGTAAGCTGGGTGTGGCGCAAGGTGGTCCTTGGGTGCAAGTGGCATCTGTGTGTTGGGGAACGAGGTTGTGAGTAAGGCGAGAGACATACCTGGTGCTGGAAGCGTGCGACATTGGTCATTGTATGCTCGTACTTCGGGAGAGCTGTTGTCGTCAACTTCGGCATTGTAGTATAGGCTAGATAGGATCTGCCATATGTAGTCTGGGCGCCGAGCGNTATGCTCGTACTTCGGGAGAGCTGTTGTCGTCAACTTCGGCATTGTAGTATAGGCTAGATAGGATCTGCCATATGTAGTCTGGGCGCCGAGCGCCAGATAGGATATCAACTCTGGTTCTTCGTTGATGATGATGATGGGACTATTTCAGCATTGTCAATTATAAACTCTCGGTGTGTTCTTATTTGGTGAAACTCGTGATGCAATTCTGCTGTTGGTTCGAGGTCACGATTATCTGGACTCATATGTATGATGTTGTTTGATTGCTGAAGTTCGCTATTGCTCATCTTCCTTGCAATTTGGTATCGGAGCTGTGGTACGATTGTGCTCATCTGGCGCTTGTCTTTTGCCTAATGTGGTACATACATACGGTCTGCTTGGTGAGTTGGATCGTAAGTGGTGTGTAGTGAGGAGGGCGGAGGCAAGTGAGTGGCGAACCAGGAGGTGAGGGGATCGCCGGGAAGGCTACGAGGTGTAATGTGGTTTGGACAGTGTGATGAGAACTATCTAATGTGCGATTGGTGCTGAGGTGGAACGACGTGCAATGCTGGTTGTGCCGAAGCAATGATTGGTCATCACAATCGGCATCTGGTCATCTGGTGAGATTATCTCTGTGGTTGGGGGCAGCTATTTGAGGTACGTTGCTCTTAACCTTATCTACCCTCTTCGACACTTCTTATCGTGAGGTTGTGTGTTCCTTCTTGAGAGTCCTCTCATTGTGAGGTGTCGAGTGCGCTCAACCTTGAGAGTCGGCAATGTTCACGTGGAGCATCTGGGAGAAGATGGGCGGAGCTTTTTGAAGGGCCCTGGACGAAGCACTGGGTCATGGTCACCATGCCAACCCACCGGGAGTAGAGCACGCATGCTTTGCTGCTTGTCCTTTGTTTGGCTTGCTGCGCTGTTAGATGGGTACTGAAGGGCAGGCCAGCCCTTAAGGGAGACGAGACCGGGCTTCTTTAAATAAGCACCGGAAGGGGAACCATTGGCTGTGATCGTCGTCCGACTGCCACGTAAAAAAATTCCCGAAGTCACTTGGGGGCGGACGTTAAATTGCCTCTGGATCAGCCAATGGTTGTAAGGCTCGCTGCACGCGAGGATAATCCAGTGCAGGGCTGGCCAGCTCAGCGGATACTCGGGGCACAGGGGTGGGCCGAACACACACCTTTTTGACACGCGATGCTCTCCAGATTGCTCAGGGACGCTTACGTCAGGTGATACTCAGGGGAACTAAGGGAGGGGTAGATTTCAGGTGATAAGTTCGAGAAAATTTCATGTTGTCCTATCCACACAAATGATTCTATTTTTATGTTTTGATTAGTTAGGTGTACAACCATTGACATCTGATAGACAACATTAGTTAGAACTGTTTCTTGTTCATGGTGCTTCTGTTTGCGGATTAGTCAAACTAAAAATAGTTTTATTTGTAGGAATCTGACTTACCTGTTGGGCCTGAATGTAAAGTCTCTGAAATAGCCACCAATTAATTAGTTGGTCTGTGCACTACGCTGCGGTAAGCATCCAATGTGTATTAGTGCAGATTGTGTACAGTGTTGTAGCTTATGAGCGACGAGGAGGACACTGGAGAGGACGACCGCAGGATCTTGCGATCGGCTAGACGCCCATTTGCCCACTTGGCATTAGGACCAGAGGGTGACAAATATCTGTTCCGCCAGCTTAGGGAGAGGCAGCAGCAGCAGAGGAGGGCTAGAGCAGCAGAGGCTAGCAGGACACTTGTGAGTGAAGCCGCAACTTCGGTAGCCATGGCCACTTCTGCGCAGCAGACTACTCAGGCCGGTAGTTCAGGATCTCTAGGGTCAACGGTCGCGCAGACCCAGAGTCAGTCCACTGGCGTCATGGCAAGCCAGCCACTAGTGTTGACGTCCGATGAGATCGCCATACAACAAGCAGCATTGCAGGAGGCACAGCTACAGAAGGCGTTAGGAGATATAAAAGCGGAGAAAGAAAGAATGATACGAAGAAGAACCAGGATGCAGCGGAGACAAGCGGACGTTAGTGAGTTAGAGGGGATGGACCAGACGCATGTGACTGATGAGGTGAGGATCATATGGTCCGTCCTGCTGAATGTAGTTGAGATGCAGGACCATCAGACAACCATCCTTCAGGACAGCCAGCGAAGTCTGGCCCTGTTGGTTGGGCAAGCGCAGGCTACGTCGCCAATGTCCGGGCCTGGTGCATGGCCCGTTGTACAGCCTCCTCCTTTTGTCCCACCGGTGACTGGGGTATCCCCATATGTAGCCCCATCATCGGTTGCGATCGTTTCCCTGGGCATGCCGCTATCAGGAGGGATCACAACAGGATCTAGTTTGCAGGTTCATGTACAGACAGTGTTCACCCAATCTCCGTTGCAGGTTGCGGTTACCACGGAGCCTGCTGTCTCGCAGTCTGTACAGTCGCAGGGTACACAGCCCCAGCAGCTAGCACAACAACCTGTATCACAGGGTCCACAGCCCGGAGTGATGCAGGGACCGGGACAAACACAGTGGGTTCCAAAGACGGCCATCGCCACTCCCAAACCTTTCACAGGGGATAAGAGGGGCGAAGACCTCGACACGTGGTTGAGGGCAGTGACGGTCTATGTCGAGTGTAAGCTTACCTTGCCGCACGAGGAAGTGTTAGTGGCTGCATCCTATCTAGAGGGTAGTGCAGCACGATAGTTGAGTGGTTTGGTGCAACTTCAGGGATATGGTCATGACTTCCGCTCTTGGGCAGCCCACCAGAAACTGGAGGACTTTCTCAAGATGGTGGAAGAAAGCTAGCATGATCCTCAGGAGGCTCAAAAGGCCACTGACGCGATCTTGACACTGCACACACGGCAGTTTAAGTCAATCAGGGAGGCCACCGACGCTGTAGAGCGTCTGATTTGTGTCCCTGGGGTGCGCTATGAGCCCCAGGTTTTACTCACCTCGTACCTGAGATGCTTTCCAATGCCTCTCAGGAATCAGTTGGCAGGTGAGGCCAACATCAATGTTCACGACTTCCCCTCGTTCAGCAAGAAGGCCCTAGACCTTGAGGCAAAAGTAGGGCATGGGCAGGCACCCACTACGAATGGTAGGAAGAAAACATTGCCTCCCAACTGGAAGGCGAAGGGACGCATTATGTTTGTCGATAACGATGGTTCAACCATCGAATTAGACGACAACTTCTAGGAGGGAGTAGGTGCAGAGGCGGGCAGCGTTGAAGCTTTAGGGGGTGGAGTTGTCGCTGCCGTAGCTCAAAAAGGTAAGGCGACCGGTAGATGCCGCGGAGGCTCCCGGTCAAGGAGTCAAGTTGACCCCAACGCTCCCCCATGGGAGAAGGCGGGTCTTACCGAGGACGTGTGGAGAGATCGGTACTCATGGCAAGCGTGTATTTGTTGTGGTCAATATGGCCATAATCAGTTCAAGTGCCGTAACAAGAAGGTGACCGACAAGATCCCGCCTACGATGGGGCAGGCGGTAGGATCCTCCCATCCCGTTGGTAGCAATGTGGCCAGCACTTCAAGCACTGCTCCGGGAAACATGTTGGGCGAGTAGGAATAGTAGTTGTTCCTACTAGGGTCGAGGTGGTGGAGACACCCTCACCGTCTCGAGAGATGGCCCAAGCTACTGACTCCAGCGTCGTCCCGCAAACACGTTCAGACCCATCGAGCCTCTATTCAATGAATGTGTTTGAGTCCTTAGAGGAGCTAGAGGAGGAGTTGTCTAGATCAGACCCGCTAGCTTCTTGGACGGCCCTAGTCAAAGCCCCGAAGGGTGAGATGTTTGTCAACGAGGTGGTCATTGGCGGCCACAAGGCCGGGGCCTATTATGACACTTGCTCGATAAGGAACTTTATCAGCCGCGCGTGCGTTGAGAGGCTGCGCTTACAGGGCCAAGTGCAGCGCCTGAGTCGACCTGTGGAGTCGACCTGTGCCAACAAACAGCGCATGGTAGTCAATGACTACCTCCAGGATGTTGAATGTTGTTTCCCGTACACGGGAGGGGAATTGAGACATTGTGTCTCGTTCCAAGTGAGCGATGAACTCCCCATGGATATGTTGTTAGGTATGTACTACCTCTCTGTGGCACAGCCCCAGTTTGATTGGGACCGAAAAGTGGTCAAACACACTTTGCCAGGTGGCGGGACCGTCAGATTGCGTAAGTTCAAGGCTAGTAGTCTGAATTGAGTCCTATGGGTGCATGTGTGCGGCCGCATTCTATAACTATTATAAGCAAAATCAGGAGGAGGGTATGTATCTAGTTTATGTCTCTACTGCAGGCGAGCCGATGAAAATGCCGGCGGAGAAAAAAGGAGTAGTTGCCAAGTACCTTGATCTATTTGAAGAGCCGACCGAGGTTGTAGAGAGGTAGGTCGTCCACGCTATAGAGATTATCCCAGGGTCTAGCATTCCGAAGGGTAGGATCTATCGGATGTCTCCAGGCGAGCTCGATGAGTTTCGCCGACAGCTCAAGGAACTCGTAGAGAAGGGTTGGATCCGGCCGAGTGTCTCTCCTAAGAAGGAGGGTACACTTAGGATGTGCATTGATTATGGGGCCTCAATGCCATCACCGTGAAGAACGGAGAGCCCCTACCGCACATCGACGATTTGTTAGATAGAGTGCAAGGGTGTTGATACTTCAGTAAGATAGATCTGAAGTCCGGGTACCATCAGATTGCAATCCGGCCCGAGGATCAACACAAAACCACCTTTCAGACTAGGTACGGTCTGTACGAGTTTGTGGTGATGCCTTTCGGCCTTTGCAATGCTCCTGGCACCTTTCTTTTTTTTTCCAAAAAATAAAAGGTTGTGTAGGTTGGCGACGGCATTAGGGGGGTCCTTTTGTCGCACGGCCATTGAGGGCAGTCCCGCCTGACAGGCCGGTGCGTCGAGCCTTCCTACCGTCTCGGAGCGGGTACTACACTCGCCAAGCGAGACCCACTCTGAAGGCCCTGCCCCAAATGGTATCGTATGCACCACCCCCCTCCCCGCACCCCCTAACACACACACTCATTGGACCAGCGAATACACTCCGAAGGTAGCTCACACCCTCACATACCCTGGAAGATGGGAAGGTTTCAACTACGACCGACGCTCCGTAGCCGCATGCAACACATCAGGGCACCCCCGAACTCAGGCAAAGGTTGCTACAGAGACATTTGCGTCGGGAGGCGTAATTGCACCCAGTCACACCCATATCCCTGTGGCGCCCCGAATCGACTTCCTGATATAGCGGAAGGTGCGTTTTCCCGGCATATGCACTGCCCCTGCATACCAGAGGGTGGCGAGCACAAAGTTGTTGATGACAGTAGCTTACCAAAAACGCCCATGCTTCCCCTTGCACTCCATACTTTGCGACGAGCCGACGCCCCCGGGCTCTCATTGCCATCTGCTCCACACCCCCATATATCAACGTCAGGTTCACCCCAAGGAAGGTCATCCTCTCTTCGTCAGTCACTGTAGGAATGTCCCAGTCTCCTGGCGGATCGAAGTCCGGCGGAAGAATGGCCTTCGACTTAGCCCTATTGACCCGCGCTCCGGAGTATTTGTCGAAGATCTGCAGGTCCTCCTTTAAAGTGGCCAGTTGCTGGTCTGTCGGGGTTATCACTGCACCTGAGTCGTCTGCGAATGCTGTTGACCGCAACCAGGGTTGTCACAGCCCCGGGGGTCTGGTGCGGTGGTCCCCTGACCCCGGCCCGGGAGGGGCCAAAGAAAAAAAAAAAAAAAATCAAATGCAATGAACCCAGATCGTGAAGACACTTGTCAACAATGCAAGCCCAGATAGATATCAACCTGCTGATGATTGTCAATAATCATAATCGCTCCTGACACCTTTCAGCACGCTATGAATCGGATATTCCATGACTACTTGGATAAGTTTGTCATCGTGTACCTCAATGACATACTTATTTTTAGTAAGACTATCGAGAAGCACGTTGCGCACTTGGACAAAGGTCTTAGTCTCTTACGACAACACAAGTTCAAGATCAATGGTGAGAAGTGCGAGTTTGGCCACACCCGTGTCTTGTACTTGGGTCATGAGATCTCTGCGGAAGGATTGAAGCCCGATGACGCGAAGGTGGCCTGCATTCGTGATTGGCCACGTCCTCAGTCTGTGACTGAGATGAGATCTTTCTTAGGAATGACAAACTACTATAGGACTTTCGTTAAGACTATAGCATAGTTGCCGCTCCTTTGACTGATCTAACCCGCCTTGACACCCCATGGGAGTGGACAGATGAGTGTGAGGCTGCTTTCAGACATTTGAAGCATGCGTTGACGCACTACGAGGTCTTGAAACTTCCTGATCCTGATAAGCCATTTATAGTCACCACGGATGCTAGCCAATATGGCATTGGCGCCGTGCTCGCGGAGCAGGAGTGGCCAAAGTTGAGGCCTGTGGAGTACATGTCCAAGAAAATGCCGTCTCAGAAGTTGGCTAAGTCCACCTATGAGAAAGAACTCTATGCAGTTTACAAGGCTCTGACCCATTGGAGGCACTATCTCCTTGGGAGGTTCTTCATCCTCAGGACTGATCATCAGACCCTGAGATGGATGAGAACTCAGTCGGTACTCTCTGACGCTCTCAAGCGTTGGATCGAAGTCATTGAGCAGTATGACTTTGACCCTCAGTATCTAAAAGGGGAGTACAACAAGGTTGCTGATGCCTTGTCGCGTAGACCTGATTTCTCAGGTGCGCTGATTACTGAGTTCGATCTGACGGACAATGTTACTCAGTCCTTGGTGGAAGCCTATCGCGAGGACCAGTTTATGTCTGAGATCATACGCAGACTTGAGGCGAAGGACAAGAAGACTTCTGCCGAGTTTGAGTTGGTCAATGGCTTGTTGTTCCTTGAGAAGGCAGGGAATAAACGATTGTGTGTTCCTAATAGCGAGTCTTTGCGTAGTTTATTTTTAGGTGAGTGTCATGATGCCACCGGCCATTTTGGGTATACGAAGACCGCAGCCAATCTGCTGCAGCGGTTCTGGTGGCCCACGATGATGCGAGATGCACAGTTGTACGTGGAGACTTGTCAGGTCTATCAAAGAGACAAGCCCCGTACTCAAGCTCCTCTTGGGCTGCTGAAGCCCCTTCCGATTCTGGAACGACCTGGTGAGAGTCTGTCCATGGACTTCATGGATACTCTAGTCACCAGCAAGAGTGGGATGCGACATCTTCGTCATCGTGGATAGATTTAGAAAGTATGCTAGGTTAGTAGCAATGCCGGAAACAGCAAGAACGGAGTATGTGATCAGAATGTTCAAAGAGAACTGGGTTAGAGACTTTGGGTTACCGAAGTCTATTATTAGTGACAGGGATGTCCGATTTACCAGCGAATTGAGGAGGACCGCTGGTTCACCAGGGAGGAACTCATGCAGACTGCTCCTCAAGTTGTAGCCCATTACGAGAGATCTCTGCAGAAGGGAAAGCGCCCAATGATTGAAGACTGAGCTTCTCAGAGGACTGTTGAAGCTAAGGAGGAGGGAATGCGAGGCCAATGCCTCCATGAGCCCCCTTATGGCCCCATTCTGAAGCAAGTCGGCCGCCCTAAGTGAAGGCAGGCTCGACGAGGCCCTCAGGGCCCTATTTTGGTCACCACGCAACTCAAGGAAATTCAGGCAGTTGCGCAGCGCCAGTTGGTTGAGCGAACCCAGGCCCTAGCCCGCCTGTGTGAACGTATGGAAAGCAGGCCCTGGGCTGGATACGTGTACTGGGCCGAACACAGGCCAAAGGCAGTTGGGCGCATGCAACCACCTCAGGCCCAAGGCCTGTTCTCGTTCGTGACTGGGCCTCAGGCTACCGGGGCCTACTGGAAGCTTCCTGGGACTGGACGCAGGCAGGCCACTTCGATATAGCAAAGTGCCTGCCTCCGCATTCGCCATTCGGGTGCTGGCTGCATGCTGCGCAAGCGCTGCTGCGCTATTTGCTGGCCGGCGCCTACGCGCTCACGGGCGAGCAGGGAAGGAGCAGGCAGCCATAGCCGAGCTGCACTGCTGTAAGCTGGGTGTGGCGCAGGGTGGTCCTTGGGTGCAAGTGGCATCTGTGTGTTGGGGAAGGAGGTTGTGAGTAAGGCGAGAGACATACCTGGTGCTGGAAGCGTGCGACATTGGTCGCTGTATGCTCGTACTTCGGGAGAGCTGTTGTCGTCAACTTCGGCATTGTAGTATAGGCTAGATAGGATCTGCCATATGTAGTCTGGGCGCCGAGCGNTATGCTCGTACTTCGGGAGAGCTGTTGTCGTCAACTTCGGCATTGTAGTATAGGCTAGATAGGATCTGCCATATGTAGTCTGGGCGCCGAGCGCCGGATAGGATATCAACTCTGGTTCTTCATTGATGATGATGATGGGACTATTTCAGCATTGTCAATTATGAACTCTCGGTGTGTTCTTATTTGGTGAAACTCGTGATGCAATTCTGCTGTTGGTTCGAGGTCATGACTATCTGAACTCATATGTATGATGCTGTTTGATTGCTGAAGTTCGCTATTGCTCATCTTCCTTGCACTCCCCTTCAAGACTCTTCTATTCATTTTCACTCTCCTCAACTCTGATGCTGCTTTTTTCTCTCTCCTTTTTCTTTATATATGTGAACTCTGCAATGAACCACTTAGTTCAACACCAACGAGCGCACATAATCTCCACATGCATGTATGAGATCACACGAGAGTCGCACTGAAAAACTAGAGAGATTAAGACCAGTTAACGCAGCTTATGAATTCCAACAAGTTATACAAGAGCAATAAGAGTTCCGAGTCACCAGCGCACAACAGCGCATATCATAGGTAACCAAACATCCAACATGATCACCCAGGTAAGTATGTTCTTCTTCCCTGCTCTTCTCTCTCTGTTGTATCACCCCTCCTTGCTGGTCTTCTCCCTAGCTTAAGACCTCGCTGAATCTTCTCTCCCTACAAGCATTCACACTCACACTAACTTCTACTCAAAGATCTACTCTGAATACACCTACTGACAACTCTACTAATCCCTCTGAAGTCTACTACTAACTGCTAGTACTAACACTTCTGCACTGGCGCACCTATGGCTGCCTTCTCCCTGCCAGCGCTATCTTGCTCTCTCTTCCTCACTTAGCGCAGCACTCTGGCCTCAGCGCTCTGCTCCTCACTTCAGCGCACAAGTGCACCAGCACTTCCACACTTCTTGCGAATGAGCAATCTGACTGAATGTGAGGCTGGCCAGTCCTTTTGTAGTCTTGGTTTGCACTTCAACTCTTGAAAGCCTCTGTTTCTTGGGTCCTGACTGGTTCCGGTACCACATCCCCACGGCCTGTCTGCTACTGAATGTCAATGCCTGGAACCTTCCCGAATTTCCATTGGACTGCTGCTGCTTGGGCCTTTGAGTCGTGACTTTTCACTTGTGAACATGACTTTTGACTGTGGACAATGACTGTTGCATACTCGTGAAACACAGTCATAAGTATGGCGCAGATTCCCAGAACTGACCAGATAATACAGAGTTGATACCAATTGCAAGCGGAAGACTTGAGATACATGGACTGACCCTGACCTGACTCAGACTGCAATCGAACACTCTCAACCATTCATCAGGGGGGTGAAAGCCCTGGCCGTTGACATGGACGAAGGCCAGGGTCTGAGATCATCCACGGACGAATTGAGGGAGGAGAGAGAAAAAGGGAGGAGGAGAGGGAAGATGACGTCAACTCAATGTCTCCAAAGATAGTATCTTGAAATGTTAGAAGTGACGAAAATCCGAAATGTCGCGAATGCAATGTCTCACAATGTCTCAGATATCGATCTCACAGTGTCAAGTACATCTCCAGAAGGAAGATGAAATCAGATCCCCCAAGTAGTCCGCAACCTATAGTCCCAATGTCGCTATTCCCAATGTCATCAGAATTCGTAACCATCCTTCATACTCATAGTAGCCCAGTAGGAGAACCCAGGAGTAGACTTAGACTGAGAAGGTAGGAGGAGATAGAGAGAGAGAGAGAGGAGAGAGAGAGCGGTGGAGGAGATGAGGGAGAGAAGGCGAAGCCTTCCTCCCTGGTACCTGGCACAGTAGCTATGGTGCTGCAAGGGGGCTGGGCCGATAACTGGCGCTGCGCCCAATGCTGTGTTAATCCTCTCACCGCTGAACTCCTGCTCTCTCGCTGCTCCTCGCTATGCTGCAGCGCTGCGCTAATTCTCTAACGCTGGAACGCTGCGCCAATCCCTGAAGACTAACCTCTGGTCCATACTAACCTACCGCTGAGGCTGGTACCCAGCCTTTTGTAGTGCTGGGCCGGCCTCCTACCTGATGGTACCTACCGGCCTGGACCGTTGATCTGAATCAACGGTCCAGTTTTGAACTGGACTTGGCGCCTAAATTGGCAGCCTCTGAAACTGCGCCGCCGGTAGGTCCTATGCTGGACCGGTACCGTCCTTATGGCTGTTGGCCTGGGCCTCAATCCCAGGCCTGCCTGAACCGGCGTACCCCTGGCCTACCTGGGCCTTATCTGAACCGCCGTCCCCCTTAGGTTTACCCTGCCTACCTGGAACCGGGCCCTAACTGGGGCCCGTGTGGCTCAGAATGCCACAATGACTCTTGCCTGTGAGTTACAACTTTTGCCTGTGATACTACCTTTTACTCGTGGGATGTGTCTCTTCGATATGATTTTTCACTAGGAAACGTGACTCCTGCCTTTGAGACATGATTCTTGCTTGGTGAATCTGCCTTTTCAGTCATGGGATGTGACTCTTCTGAATGGCTTTCCTTAATACGCTTAAAGCGTACAGCGGGTCTCGCGTAACGCTCCCACGGAGACCGGCTGTCCACTGTTGGGCAAGTTTTAGGACGAACAGGGCGGGCCCACGGGGAACTTACCGAATCGATGGACCGGGGTTTTTTGGAGAAGTCACCGAATTGACGGACCGGGGTGTTTCGTTTCGTGTTTGTGAATGTGGCTGGGAGAAGTATGAAGATGCACCATGTTTTTTTTTTTTTTTCCTGTCGAGGTTTCGCGTGCTGTATGTCGCGCGGAGAAGTGGCTCGATACAGCGTGTTTCGGGGGACCAGGCTTTTTGGTTCCGGTGTCCGGAAGTTTCGCGGCCCGATTCTCTTCGGTGCGTCGGCCAGTTCGCGCGCACAGTTTGCATGTGCTCTTCAGCACGTTGGCCACTGGCCCACCGGGGTGTTTCGTTTCCTGTTTGTGAATGTGGCTGGGAGAAATATGAAGATGCACCGTGTTTTTTTTTTTTTTTTTTGTCGAGGTTTCGCGCGCTGTATGTCGCGCGGAGAAGTGGCTCGATACAGCGTGTTTCGGGGGACCGGGCTTTTTGGTTCCGGAGTCTGGAAGTTTCGCGGCCCGATTCTCTTCGGTGCGTCGGCCAGTTCGCGCGCACAGTTTGCATGTGCTCTTCGGCACGTCAGCCAATTTGCGCGTTGGAGATCCCCTGTGAGCAACTTTGCACAGAGAGAGAGAGAGAGAGAGAGAGAGAGAGAGAGAGAGAGAGAGAGAGAGAGAGAGAGAGAGAGAGAGAGAGAGAGAGAGAGAGAGA